CTCAGGCTTGCAAAGTCTTGGTCCTCTATCTTGCACTGTCCCATGTTCTCTTTGGCTTTTCTTTAGCTTCTAAAGCCTATGTTCAAGTACTTTCTTTGGCTTTCTTTTCTAAGGCCTATGTTAAAGTTCTTGGTGCAGACTTTCTATCACCCCTCTTTAGCCATTCTTTTCCCTTCAGCGATTTCCCTGCAATTCTTTTCCCTTCAGTAATTCCTTTCCCTTCCAAAAGCTTCCCACACCAAAAAGCCTAAAGCAAAAGAATCAAGCCAAGCAAAAAACCCAAGTCAAAGCCCAAAGTAAAAGCCAAAGGCAAAAAGCAAAAGTCCCAACTCCTCTATCAGCAGGCCCTAAAGGGGGTGGAGTAAACAGGGTGGAGCAGCAGCTCTCTGGGAAGGGTGTGACATTGTAACAGGAGAAACCTGCATTCCTGCTTCTCTGAAAGCAAGCTTAAGAGATGCAGCTGTTCTGCTTTTTTCTGTTTCATGTCCAGGGCTGTGCCTATTCCGCCTACAGATGAAAGCAATTAAGCCACATCTCACCTTGCTTACATCCAGTTCTCATAGGCTTTTCACAATATACTGTCCACACTACCACTTGAGTTATGGTCCTAGCCCTTTTGTTGTATTTTGATTTTGAGATGGTTTCAAACTTCATCCTCCTGCCCCTGCCTTCTGAGTGGCTGGAGTTACAGATGTGCCCACGCCCAGCTAAGATATCAGGATCTTAAAGGAATATAACTGTCTTGTGGTTTTATAAAAAGTAGAATTTAGTAAGCAATCTAATGTTAAATAATTCATCAGTGATCTTATTTATTTTGAGCTCTAAGCCTGTGATCCTGTGAAGGCCCTGTCAGTGTTATTTATTTCTTCACATCTTTTCTGCTTTCCCATTTAGATTGTAAATCCCCACTTACTGAAAGATCTTACTGAGCGTGGCTTGTGGAATGAAGAGATGAAAAACCAGATTATTGCATGCAACGGCTCTATCCAGGTACATGAAAGTGAAGCGTGCTCTTCAGGAGCTGAGTTGAATGTTAGAGTGCCACCTTACTTATCTCAGGCAACACAGAGGAAATTGGCCAGTCATTGTGATTATATGGACTCAAGTTGCTGTGTTCATTTCTGATTGTTGTGCTACGATTATAGCCATCTTCCCATAGCTCTTATCCTCTTGGTGTTTGTGCAGGAAAACACTGGTTCCCAGTTTTCCTGCACAATTGGGGAGCTTTTAAAATCCTGAAGTTTAGGTTGTACTCCTTGCCAGTTAAAGAAGAATGTCTGGGAGTGGGAGCCATACATAAATATTTCTTAAAATATTTACAGAATGTCTCAAAATCTAGGGACCATTGACAAAAAATTTGAATTTAGAGTCATCCTTAAAAAAGCATGGTAGAGTTGGATGGCTAATAGTCTAAAAGGAAGTCATAAGTAGCATTTAACAATAAAATATTTGCAGTTGAAAATCAAGAGGCATTTAATTATACATAGAAGGCTTGGGTAGTCATCGGTCTGCTTAGCAACACAAAGAATCCTGCACTCTTTTAATTTTTGCATAGTTTTTGTTGTGTTTTGTGTTTTGATGGACCCAGGGTTTGAACTCAGTTTGAATTCTGCCTCAAACTGACTAGGCAGGCACTCCACCACTTGAGCCATGCCCCCAAGCCCTAACCTTTCAATTTTTGATGGCAGAAACTATAGCATTAGCAAGACTGTGTGTTTTAATGCAAATTAACTCCAGATTTAAGAAAACCTGATTTATTTTTGACTCCAAATGGAGTTGGTGGAGTCCTAGCTAATTTAAAAGAGCTTATGTCATTGCCTCCCTGATCATGTCTTTGTGAGTCACAGTCCTGATGATATGTGTTTTCTGCAAAAGTCAAGATTCATTTATTGCTGCTTAGCTCTGATTTTTCCTTCCTTTCCTAATGGCCTCTAGAATAATAAACATTTTGTCCATAATTCAGTTAAAGAGTGACCAGATTGACATTTGGTTGGTTAGATGGGGTTTTGTTGACTTTCTAAGCAAGAGCTACTTAGCCTGGGCAACCTTGACAGGGATTGTCATACACTGGACAGTAGGGTCAGATCTGGAAGAAAGACCAGACCCTTGCATCATTATTCTGTTGGTCAGACTGCTTTCTTTGCCTGAAGTTGAGTAGACATTTGTTTTCTTTTTTCAGAGCATACCAGAAATTCCTGATGACCTGAAGCAACTTTATAAGACTGTGTGGGAAATCTCACAGAAAACTGTTCTCAAGATGGCAGCTGAGAGAGGTGCTTTCATTGATCAAAGTCAGTCTTTGAACATCCATATTGCTGAGCCTAACTATGGCAAACTCACTAGTATGCACTTCTATGGCTGGAAGCAGGTTGGTAGAGGAAATGAAGGAGGACTTAATTGCTAGCTTGTGTTGTTTTGGAATTGGAACAGTTTTATATTCTAGTTACCTCTTATATATTGCCTCCTAGAAGTTCTTTCACTTCAAATCCAAATGTGTTGCAACCAACCTGATGTTTTTGTTCCAGGACAAGCTCTTGATTTGGATTTTCTTGTTTCTGTTAGGATTATTTCTAAGTTTGAAAACTTGGAATTCCTTCCATTACTGTCCATTAAATTACTTACCAAATGGTACTGGTTGTTCTTTTGTACTGTTTTTGATCTTCCTCTTCCATTGTCTTTATTTGTGTGTATGCGTGCGTGTGTGTGTGTGTTTATTACTGGGGTACTGGGGTTTGAACTCAGGGCTTTGCACTTGCTAGGAAAATGCTGTACCACTTGATCCACACCTCCAGCTCCATTGCATTATTCTTCACTTATCTCTTTGCTCTGGTATCTTTCTTTGCTTCAGGCCATCTTGTGCACTACTACCATTCGTAAAATAAAACTTTGCACATGTCAACCCACTATTCAAAAATACCCATTGTTTTCCCACTTTATCTACAGTGTAAAAGTCAAATTATTTACCCTACTGCCAACTGTAAAGTCCTATGATTCTGGATTTTATTCTTATTCCTTAATAATATGTTGGATTTTTACATACAATTATATATTTATTTTCTTATTTAACATACTTTTCTTGGACAGCTACTATCTGCCAGTACTGGGGATACTGAACAGAATATGATCCTTTTTTTTTTTAAGTATTTATAATCTGTTATTATTCAGAGACATGGTTTAGCTTTCTAAATGGTTATAGTCTAAGGCAGACATGTTGTCTTTTACAAACCTGGAAGTCATACACATAAAAGAAAGACAATTGAACAAAAGTATTTAAGAATACTTCCTAGAGGATATAGAATTGCAAGTTTAGGAAATAGTTGACCTGGTTTAAATTTAAATTTTTTAATTAAATTTATTTTAACATATATGGCAATAAACATTAATCTTGAATGTCTAGTGTTCTCAAAAACTTTTTCCTAATAGTTGTATTTACTTCCCTTGTAGGGTTTAAAGACTGGGATGTATTATTTAAGGACAAGACCTGCAGCTAATCCAATCCAGTTCACCCTAAACAAGGAAAAGTTGAAAGAGAAGGAAAAGGCATCAAGAGAGGAAGAAGAGAAGGAGAGGAACACAGCAGCCATGGTGTGCTCTTTGGAGAACAGAGATGAATGTCTGATGTGTGGATCCTGAGAAAAGGCTTAGAAGAGACCAGCATGTCTTCCATAGCCAAGCTACTTGAGCATAGATAGGCATAGTGGGTGTGCTTGAAGTGGTAAGGCTTTGCTGAACCTTATTGCAACAAAAGGAGTAATTGATTTAAAGTATTGTTTCTATAAGTGTGAAGATACTGATTTAAAAAACAAAAAACAAAAAAAATACTTGATATATTGGGAATCCAAGTAGAAGTTCTAGGAATGCAAAAGGCATCATCTTGGAAATAGGAAGTGATGTAGTAAGGTTTAATTAACCCCTCTAGCATTCCTTTTCTGATAATCTGTTTGTGTAAGGAGCTTGAGTTTTGCTGCTTTGACTGGTTTCCTAGAAGCAAAACTGAGTGATAACCCATGAAAAGTGCTGATAGGACTTTTATCTAGATAAGGTTCCATTGGTCACTCTGAAATAAAGAGAAACATTTCTACGTGTTTGTGTGAAGTTAATTTTGTCATTTTCATACAAAGGTCAAATTAAAAAAAAACAAACAAAACACATTTTCTGTTCTTTGAGAGTTCACAGAAGAAATTTTTTAAGACATTAATTATACTTTAGCGTTTTGATGTTAACATATTTGTGGTAAAATACACATAACATAAAACTTACTGTTTTACCCATTTTTAAATGTGGAATTCAGTGGCATTTAGTACATTCACAGTGCCCTGTAGGTACTGATTAGCTTTCTTCATTCTTCTTTCTTTCTGTTCCCTACACTCTATTTCAATTGTTCTACCTTCAAGTTTGAGGATTCCTCTTTCTACTGTTAAGCCACTTTAGTGATTTTTTTTTTTAATTTCAGTTAATTTGCTTCTCAGCCTTAGAATTTGGTTTTTTTTAATTCTTTTTATTTTTGCTGACAGTCTGATTTTGTTCATAATTGATTTCCCAATTTCCTTATTTGCCCATGTCTTCCTTTAGTTTTTTAAGTATATTTAAGATAGCTCTTTTTGTTAGTGGAAATATAAATTAATCTAGCCACTATGGAAATCAGTATAGAGCCTCCTCAAAAAAAATCTAAAAATAGAACTTCCTGAAGGAATGTATGTCAGCATACAACAGGGACACCTGCATACCTATGTTTACTGCAACACTATTCACAATAGCCAAATTATGAAATCAGCCTAGGTGCCCATCAACAGATGAATGGATAAAGAAAATGTGCTCTATATACACAATGGAGTATTATTCAGCCATAAGGAAGGATGAAATTATGTCATTTGTAGGAAAATGGACAGAACTGGAGATCATTGTGTTAAGCGAAAATAAGGCTGACTCAGAAAGACAAATATCACATATTTTCTCTCATGCGCAGAATCTAGATTTTTAAAAAAGACATGAAAGTACAAGGAGGACTATTAGGAAAGAGGAAGGGGGACAAGAAAGGGTAATGGAGACAGGATGGGGGAAAAAAACTAAACAATGAATGTTGATAATTAACGTGCCATGAGCAATGCAACTGATCCTAATGGGACTTTGCAACATAGTGGGCAACTCCTTTTTTTTTTTTTTTCTGCTGGTATTGGGTTTTAAGTTCAGGACCTCACTTGAGCCATACCCCAGCCCTCTTATCTTTTAGTTACTTTTCAGGAAAGGTCTTGTATTTTTGCCTGGGCTGGCTTTAGACCATGATCCTCCTACCTATTGCGTCCTGCATAACTGGGACTACAGGTGTACATCACCATGCCTGGTTTATTGATTGAGATGGGGTCACACTAACTTTTTGCCTGGATTGGCCTCCAATCATAATCCTCTTGATGCCTGACTCCCATGTAGCTGAGATTACAGGTACAAGCCACTGCATGCAGCAATAGTTGGAATTTTTTTTTTTACATGGTACTGGGGTTTGAACTCAGGGCCTCACACTTGAATAGTGGACAATTCCTGAAAATTCTGGAATAAAGAAATTAGAATCTTCTTTTATTTTGTATGGGAATTATTAAAATTAAAAATTCAATATGTAGTAAAATGTACTCAGTATTTAAAAAAAACCTGTAAGATGCTGGTCAAACTTAATGATGGGATTAATGAGGTCTGGATCTAGTGTATAGCATGGGAGGTGATGGATGTTTTAAGTGACTTGATTGTGATAAATCATTACACAGTATATCTAGTCATGTGCTCATTGATTATTTAACATTTTTATTTGTCAGTTAAATATTTTAAAATTAAAAAAGATGACAGCATTGAAAAATGAGGCCTGAAACTTTAGAACTAAATATAACTGTCACATTGTTAATTCTAAAAAATGTTTGTGGTATAAATATGGATCTGTCAGATATTCTTAAGAAGTAGGACTGTCCAGATTTAGGTTTCATCAGACAGACTTCCATGAAATTGCTGTCATCCTTCAATTTTATCCATCTTTTTGGTTCATATTATAGGATCTAGACACCTATATTCTGAAATTTTGGAAATTCTTTGGTTGTAACTATACTGTGGCTGGGGGAAAGATGGTTCTTTGAAAAGTAAAAATGTCTATGTAAAATGATTCCTTGTATGCTTGTGGTACTGACTCTCTGCTATAAGTACTCTCTATCAGTACTAGACTATGTCGGTTCCTCACCTTGCCTTGAGTACCTACTTTCCCTTTATCCACAGTGACTAAGAAATCAGCCATCCATGTGGAAGTATTCTTGCTCTGGCACCAACCAAAGGCACTTTGGTTGCTTGCAGCCAATATTTGTAGGCTTTTTGGATTTGAGGGGCTAATTCAGCTGCCAGCCAAAATAGCTATCCAAATGGAAGAAACTAGATCTAAGTTGATATATAAACTAATGCACACATTTTCGGAAAGCCACATTTCTATATGAGTGCACAACTGTGTAGAGTGACAAAGCCCTTCCAATGACAATGCCACATTTTTTGTTTGTTTTTGTCAGTTACTGGAGGGCATTGTGCTTGCTAGGCAGATGCTCTACTGCTGGAACATTCCTGTAGCCCATTCCTGTGTATTTTTTAAAGTCTGCTTATGATAGTTTGAACATTAGTTGCCTATTTATTTTCATAGTCACAGGGTGTTTATCACCACTAGCACCTTTTCGTTTCTGTTCACCAAATGGCAGTTTTCAAATAGCACCTGTAAAAATTTGGCATTACAAAAGACAATTTTTAATGTGTCCAGTAAACCAAATGTCCTAGTTTCCACAAGGATAGTTTCTGTCAATTTATATTGTTCCTTGAATGGTCCCATTTTCCCTGCTTCCTTGTATGCCTTGTAATTTTTTGTTGAAAATTGGGAATTTGACTAATATAATGAGGTTAGTCTAGAAAAGAAGTTCTCCAGGGTTTGCTGTTTTGTGGCGTTGTCTTGCGTTTTGTTTTGTATGTTGCTGTTGAAGGCTGTAGTATTCTGATTTCAGGACTTTACTGAGCTATTTTTGCCATGAGGTCTTTTAGCCTTTAAATGAAGGGGAGACCGTGTCCCCTTGAGGAGGGACTCCACTGCACTGCCAAATATGCATACTATTAAATCTTTCTCTTAGCCTTCCCCAAAGGGATTATGGTCTTTTACCAGGGTAACTACTTTGGAGAAAAGGACACAGTTAAACCTTTCAGGGATTACTGGACACAGGCACTAAACTGACATTAACTTCAGGCAACTCAAAATATCACTGTAGCCCACAGATAGGGAGTTAACGGAGGTCAGGTAACAGCAGAGTCTTGCTCAGGTGCATCTCACTGTAGGTCTTGTGGCTTTCTGAAACTATCCCCTGTGGTTATTTCTTCACTTGTAGAACACATAATTGTGAAAAGACATACTCAGTGACTGCCAGGTTTCCCGCATTGATTCTCTCACCTATGGAGTGAGAGTTACCGTGGAAAAAGCCAATTGTGAGTCACTAGGAAAATGATAAGCCAAAGTATTGCAGTGCTGAATGATGGCAGAGATCAGTGCCACCATTGCCTTGAAGTATTCAGGAGAGACGATTTCTGTCCCATTCAACTCACCTATCTAGCCTGTGCAGAAAACATGTTGGAGAGTGACAATGGATTACCATAGCTTTAACAGAGTGGGTGACTCCAATTAGATGGGGGTTTCATTGCTTGAACAAATTAGATCCCTGGTACCTGGTATGCAGCTATGGAATGCTTTTTATTTTGTGGTCCTGGAGTTTTGAGCTCAGCACCTCATACTTGGTAGACAGGTACTCTTACTGCTTGAGCCACATCTCCATCTCTTTTTGCTTTGGTTATTTTTGAGATAGGGTCTCACATTTTTCCTGGGATGGCCTGGACTTTGATCCTCCTACTTATGCTTCCCATATAGCTGGGATGACAGGCATGTACACCAGGCGCAGTTTTTTATTGTTGTTGTTATTGAGATCTCTCTGCCTTTTCACTCAGGCTGACTAAGTGATCATCCCAATGTTTGTTCCTGAGTAACTGGGATTGTAGCTACTCAGCCACCATACCTGGCTGACAAGTGCTTTTTGTTTATACCCCTTAGAAAGACCAACCAGAAGCAGTTTGTTTTCAGCAGAGAAGGGCAACAGTACTACTTTAAGGGTAAATCAACTTGCCAACCCTATATCATAACTTAGTTCCCATGGAATTTGATCAACTTTCCCTTTCACAAGACATCACGTTGTTCCCATATATTAATGACATTGTGCTGATTGGATCTTGTGAGCCAGAAGTAACAACTACTTTTAGACTTACTGGTAAGAAGTTTCATGTCAGAAGACAAGAAATTTTACCAAAATTCAGGGACCTTCTTTGTCAATGAAATTTCCAGGAATTCAGTGGGTATGAGGCACGAGAGATAGTACTAAGTAAAGGATAAATTATTGCATCTGACCCCTCTCACACCTAGTAGGCTCTTTGGAGTTTAGAACCAAAAAATCATTTGTGTGTGCACTGTAGCCTATTTACTGAGTAACCTAAAGAGCTTCTTGTTGTATGTGGCCCAGAAAAGAAAGCTCTGCCACAGGCCAGACTGCTGAGCAAACCGCTGTACTACTTGGGCCATATGGTCCAGCAGATCCAAAGGTGATTGAAGTGAGAGGGCAGACACAGAAATGCTGATTTGAGTCTTTGGCAGGCTCAGATAGGGGAACCACAGCAGAAGCCATTAGGATTCTTAATAAAGCCCTGCTATCCTTTGGATATCTACTTTCCATTTGAAAAGCAGCTTGTTGCTTGGTACTGAGAATGGACACTTAAATGTGGGGTCCACCAAAATACCATTGTCTTGAGCTATACAGGATGAGCAGGCCATAAAATTGGGTGCGCACAGCAGCACTCCATCTAATGGAAGTGGCGTATTACAAGATCTGGCTCAAGTAAGTTACATGAAGAAGTGGCTCAAATACTATGGTCCCCATTTCTGCTTCTCAGTCTGCATCTTCGGCCTCATAAAGAGTGCACTATGATCTGTTGACAGAGGAAAAGTTGGGCCTGGTTTGCAGGCAGCTCTGTGCAGTATGCAGGCACCACAGATCCTTTCTGGGACAGTC